TAAAAAAATTATATTAGTCTTAAAATAAAATAAAATTTATATTTTAAATAATTATAATTATCTTTTCATAACAGATTTTATCATCTGTCATATGGTTATATAATTCTTTGAAGTTCATTTTAATCAATACATTACTAAACCATGAAGTGTTATGATATTTATTAAATGCTTGGATAATTTCATTATTCTCTATTATAACTGTTTCAAATATTGTTAATATAAAATTATTTATTAAAATATTTAAAGAATTAAAGTATAATTTTAAAACAATTTCAAGATTTTCAAATTCTCATATATGATTTTTATTTTTTTTTTGAAAGAATTTGAAGTATTTCATTTATTGAATTGTTTAAATTTCTTGTTAAAAATGTAAATACTTTTGGAATAATTATTCATTCTTTAAAGCTTTGTGTGATTTTGTTAATTATTTTATTATTATTATTATTTTTTTTTTAGAGGCAAAGTGCATTACATGCAAATTTTATTAACTTAGCATTGAAGTTACAATCATTACATGAAGAGTTTGACTAACTATAATAGCTATTTTAATCCTAGCACTGCCTCTAATTCTAACCTGATTACCAACTAACACCCCGGAAGTGGGTTCGCAATCTAGGCATGGTCTATTTGAAGGGCATTTTATTACTTGCCACTGTCATTAGGATTTTTATTATGTCTCACCTACCATTATCTGACTCCAGCTGCAGCTCAAACCGATTGATGCAAGTATATACTCTCTAGCGAATGCTCCGGTTTGCTGCCGGTTGGACACTACTAAATCTAGGGGCCATATGGCCAAATGGGGTGTGACTTCTTAAGGAATAACCCTTAATCTCCTAGTAGACATTTTGTTACGGGCCAGTTGGTATAGGCTGCCAAGCCTAGGGGTATAAATACCAAGCAAGACACAACTTCTATATACCCTGTCTTATCATATTGTCCTTATACAGTTCGAGGGCTGCTTACCAGTAGAGTGATCCTCTTCAAAGTTGCTTGTGATTTTGTTAATTATTATTTTTCTTTGATTCTAAAAATATATAATATTGTTAGATATTTCAAAAGTTTGTTAATTAATTTATATACTTACATTTTGTATTAGTTATTCTTTGATATTTTTTTTATTATTTAAATGAAAAGGTTGTTTAATATGTTTCTTATAAAGACTTTCGTAAGATTCTGAAGTAAATTCATTAATTATTCCATACTTTCAAATAGATGAAATTATATAATATATCCATAAGTGTAATTTTGGAAGTTTTAGTTGTAAAGCTGAAAATCTTTTAAATAATTTTATAAATTTTCATGTTCATATATTAATAGAATCCTATAATAAAATATAATTTAAATATTTTATGTTTAGATGTACAGATAGGACTGTACTCTATTCTAACCAATCCTATATAACAATCGACTAATGGTAGTTGAATCCCTAGCCTAGAATATCCCAATCCGGTGCAGAGCTTAAAAGGGTAACACCTGCCACAAGTGGTGAGAAGGGTCATGACTTGTGTAAGCCCAGAATTGGTACAAGTGGTAATCTGAGGTTCAAGCGATAAGGTAAAAGGAGGTACTTGAACCAACTTCCGTAAGCATCATTTCTTCACTCATGAGCCGAATTTAGAATAGGTTAGGTAGTTTAAAACTAGTAGTAGAATTTCTACCCTCTATAGATTTGCCCCTCGGATCGAGATAACTAATCGTTAAGCGATAGGAGTCAGGATCCAAAGATGTAAAGATGGGAAGGTGCGGGTTAACTTAAATGGACCTTGTAATACTGTACTGTTGGATATAAATTACTCAATAAAAGATTACGTGCTACTGCACCTTTCAACTTTAAAAAATAATAATAATAATAATAATAATTTAAATATTTTATAATATAATTAAATAAACAATTATTTCATTCATACCTCAAAATTTTTTAAATCACTTTCAAAAAACTCCTCATATCTACTAATTATATATTTTTTATTCCATTCTTGATAAATTATTGGCAATTCTTTAATATTAGTATTCTGTATACTTTTATTACATAGATTATCCATTACAAAAATCATAACTTTCATTAGATTTTTATATTCATCTACAGTTAGTTTTGCAATAAATTAAATACTATATGAAAAAATTTTTAATCCTGAAAATCTTGGAATTTGTGCAAGTCTTTGATTCATTTTATTACAAAGTAAAAGACCACAAAGGTTCTTTAATAATTCTTGTGTATATTCAATTTGATATTAAAAAAGATTCAAATCAAGATAATATATTCTATCTGATACAGTTGCCTCATATAAATTCATTTTGCTATAAATTAATAAAATTTAATTTAATTTTATAATACATAAATTAATTATAAAAATTATAAAAACTTATGGAATACTTTAAAAAAAACTATAGATATTTTCTATTGATGCTAATTTTGTTAAATTTGATTGAAATATTTCTTTCATTTTTTCATGATTTCAAGATATTATATTTTTTTTTGATAAATTTATTTTCACAAGATTTTCTTTCATAACTAAGCAAAAATGACAAGAATTATTTGAATTACTTGATTTATAAGTTAAACAAAAGGTTGTAACTTCAGGTCAATTGGATATAATTATTGATATTTTTGAAATAAATTAAATGCTTTTGCTTTCAATTGAATAGTTAATTTCATTTTTTGTTGAAATTAATGGTTCAAGTTATATATGTTGCTGAATTTTGTAGATCCTTGATGCAATTGATGCAATTATTTGACGCAATTAATTGAGTCACTATTAAAATATATAAATAATTGAGTCATGGCGCAATTATTTTTAAGGATTTTGAGAATTGAGTCAACAGCAAAATAATTTATGTCACATGTATAGTTCAAGTAATATCTCCAGACATTTGTAAAAAGTTTCACATACAATTTTTTTAAAATTTTGTGATTGTTTTTTTGTTATATTTTTCAATTTAATTATTGGCAAATATTCTAATGGTTATTTTGCATCTGGTTTATTGCACTTCCAAGTTAATATATTTTCTAATGAAAAATATATTAGGTATAATGAACTCTTTTCCAAAGTATCACTATTTGTTGCATCAGAATATAATATTATTAAAAGTAATTTAAAACCTGGCAGAATAGATTTCTCTATATCCCTTCACTAGTTACAATTATTTTGTTCTTTATACTATATATTCTTTCTTTACTATTCTATAAATAAATAAATTAAAAGTAAAAAAAAATTAAACATTTAACAAAATGATTTAATTACTGGATTATTTTAATATAAAATTTCAAAATTTTGCAGAAAATTTTGAAAGATATTAGGAACCTCCAAAATATTTTTAATACAACTTATAATTGACCAATGAAATAAGAAGTATTTTATATTATTATATAATAATACACAAGTTTTAAAATAATCTAAATTTGGATGTTTTATATTATTTATGAATTTATATTGTGAAAGAGAAAATAAAAACAATAGTAACACAATTAGGGTCATGTGACTGACGATCGACCCAGGATTGTGAGAAGAAAAGGAAGGTAAAAATAGATCTGAAACCGGTGCTTGTAACGAAATAATAAGGATGTAATTAGTGTTAGATTAGATAATAGCATCAGAAAGTAGTAAAAATTCTCTTACCTTTCGTTATGTTTTCAAATTGTTCTAAACTTTCCTTGTAAAAAGTATAAAATGTTAGCATTTATTCTTTAAAATAAAAGGAAGCAGATAGTAATGACTAAAGTGAATTAATAAAGAGAAATTACTTACCTTGGTCAAATCAAATGTCTCGCCAGAAACCATCCACTCCCACATTTTTGGTGATGAACTGTGAGATTAAACGCATTATTACCTTCTGATATTTTCACGTGAACACCTTTTTCGACATTTTCATACCCCTATTATAATTTTACTTTCTTTTATTTTACTTTTATCCTTTCAGACACTTATGTGGTATAACGACTGATCTGATGAGGAAGCAGCAAGAAAATTGATTGATAAATAACTAGAACGCATCCAAAATCCCGAATTAGTATACCTGTGTGACACTAGTGATAAGTATAAAAATGGCAATGAATGTCCAAATTGGAGGCAACGTAACTACCAGGTTTCTTCAGCAGCTAAATGCCTTGCAAGAACTAGCATACACCTATGATGACACAAGAAGCCTAAAACTTGGAGTGCCAGAGAAAAAAAAAAAGTCGGTCGAGTCTCCCTTTGAGGATAAAGCTGGAGAAGACCCGCAACAATGGTTGAAGCACTACGAGAAGGCCGCCAAATTCAATGGTTAGCCAAATAATAAGAAACTAGAAAGAATAGGCAGTTACCTGAAAGAAACTGCTAAAAAATAATACAAGGAAAATTGCGATTAGTTTGTTTATTGGAACGAGAGTAACGACGGAAGCAGCTTTGTGCCAACTTTCCTGCAGTATTTCACGTTGCTTGAGTAACAGCATCAATGGCAGTCAGAATTAGAGAATTTCGAGCAAAGAAAGGATGAAGCAGTAACTGAGTACATCCGAAGGTTTGGAAAGCTACTCAAGAAGCTTTATCCTAAGAACGACTATTCTAGAAAAGTGGCAGAATAATTGCTTGTGTTCGGACTGAGAAGCGATGTATTGTGATTGCCTGCTGTTAGAAACACCACCACACCAGAAAGAGTGCTCAAAGCAGTAGTGGAAAACAAAAGGGAAGCAAGCAAGACGAAAGAATTAAAAGCCTGCGCCCAAGAGATAAGAGAGCAAATGCCAAAAAAAGAAAGACTGTGCAAACCTGCTGCCCTAGCCGAGAAAGGCACAAACGAGTCGGAGACGCCGACGGAAAAGGATTTGAATTGTGGAGACTTAAGAAAGAGAAACCACAATGCTGAAGATTGTCCAAGGGAGGACAAGTTTTTCTGAAGATCATTATGGATTAATGAAGCCCAACTCGGAGAGGAAAGAGGAGAACTGAGACAGTCATCAGAGAACCGACTATCGTATGATGGTGATAAAGAGATGCTTTCTAACCAGCGAAACAAGAACAAGCCCTCAGAAAAAACAACGAGCAACAATCAAAACAAGATCCTGGAAGAAGAACACGTTAATGAAGAGACGCCAGCAGAATTACTGGACGAAACCTTAAGATCCACCTGCAATGAAACCCGATGATTATTGATGATGAGATGCCAAGAAGAAAGGATGAAATTTCAAAGACAGTAACGAACAAGCACCAAGAGAAGAGGATGGATAACCATCTCAGCGAGACCATGGAGAAGGGCATCGACAATGAAGCTCTGGCAACCAAAAATGACGTGAGGGTGAAGACGTAAATGAAACTACAAAACCTGTCACTAATGAAATCCCGATGAATAAGAACAGTGGGCTGTCGAATGAGAAAAGTGAAGTCATGAAAAAAATGATGAGTGTATCTGAAGAAGACGATAAATCAGCTACGCAAAGCCTAGAATATCACCTAGAGAAAGAGAAATGACCAGAAGACAGATTGTGACAACATACCTTAGGAGGATGCTCAACCACCACGAATGATATCGACCTAGGAGAAGGAAGCCGACCAGAAGACATGCTGCAACCACGAACCTGTAATACTGAGTTAGAAATGAACTGAAGAGAAGACCATCCGACGATTGGAAAGATAGAGCCTTGAACCGACAGACAATGACAACGAAAGACAAAAAGAGTTATGATAGCGTACCTAACGATACCATCTTCGGAGACACGGCGACCATGCGATATGGTCATGATCAATTGGCATCAAAAAACAATCAGACGAAGAAGGGAGAAGAAATGTTATCAACAGTTTATCACAAATCACATCAGGCCATATCATCACCACAGATAAAAGCATTAACGACAAGACTAGGCAAGCAACAACATCAGAATGACACGTGCTATTGAGAGAGCCACACCATGCTGACGCCACATTACAAATCTGAAGGCTGCCCAAACAATAAATTTGAAGATCAGGTACAAGTGGAAGGAGAAGACAACCGACAACCAACAACTGATGACCAATGACCCAGCGAATAAATAATCCACCGGCCATCACTAAACGAAACATGATGACAGACATATGCTTAGTGAAAAACTTAATGCATGAGACACATAAGATATGCATGGGGGTTGTGAGAGGAAGAATAAAAACAATAGTAATGCGATTTGGATCACGTGACCAATAATCGACCTGGGATCGTGAGAAGAAAAGGAAGGTAAAAATAGATCTGAAACCGGCACTTGTAACGAAATAATAATGATGTAATTAGTATTAGATTAGATAATAGTACCAGAAAGTAGTAGAAATTTCCTTACCTTTTGTTATGTTTCCAAACTGTTCCTAAACTTTTCTTGTAAAAAGTATAAAATGTTAGTATTTATTCTTTAAAATAAAGAAAAGCAGATAGTGATGACTAAAGTGAATTAATAAAGAGAAATTACTTACCTCAGTCAAATCGAACGCCTCACCAGAAACCATCCACTTCCACAATATCCTTATTGAATATTTTTTGATAATGGACTAATCAATAAATTAGAATGTTTATTAAAAAAAGAAATTATTTCATTGCCTGTTGAAGTACTTAGTTTATTTTTTAAAACAAATGTCATTAAGTTCACATATGCATTATTGGGAAATTTATTAAAGGAATCTTCAAAAGAATTCAAAGAATCATAACTATCCGAAGAATCTTTTAATAAATTAATATTACAAGAATTATTATTAAAGGGATAATTATTTTCATGAGAATTTAAATTCTTAGCAAAAGTCTAAAAATAAATAACTATTGATTAATAAAATAAAAAAATAAAAACAAAATATTATAAAAATACCTCTGAAATGCTTTGCAAATCTTCAGTATTATTAGAAATAATAGAAAATTTTGACTCATTTAAATCTTCATTAGACTCGTTACTAGAGTC